CTACTCTTGAACATATTAAAGCTAACACAGATTATCCAGTTATTCGATTCCAAGGCGTGGAAGCTGACGACATTGCAGCTTATATCGTTTCCAAGAAAAAATCACTCAACTTTGATGAAATTTGGCTAGTCTCCAGTGATAAAGATTGGGACTTGCTTGTAAAGCCAGGGGTGAGTCGGTTTAGTTATGTTACTCGTAAAGAAGTTACAAACGACAACTGGAACGATCACTACGATTGGACTCCTGAGGATTATATCTCAATTAAGTGTCTAACAGGCGATACGGGCGATAACGTATTTGGAGTTCCAAGTATTGGCCCTAAACGTGCAGCCAGTTTAGTTGCTGAGTATGGTTCAACATGGGATATTATTGCCAGCATCCCACTAAACGGCAAGTATAAATACATTCAAGAGCTGAATAAATGCAAAGATCAGCTTATGTTGAATTATCAACTAATGGACTTGGTTACTCATTGCGAGGAAGCAGTCGGTGTTGATAATTGTAAAGAAATTGACAAAATCCTAGAAACCTACACAAATGAATAATCTTCAATACCTTAGTACTAATAGCACAGTTACTGGAATATGCAATACGTGGACTGTTCCAACATTGGATTGCTTGGTTCAGCCTGGAGCTAAACTTCCGCAACGTGCACATCGCACGGATGCTGGAGCAGATTTGTTTAGCTATGAAGAACACGAGATTTATCCTCAAGAACAAAAACTTGTTGATACAGGTATAGCGATCAAAATTCCAGAAGGCTTTGTTGGCCTTATTTATAATCGCAGCTCGCAAGGCAAAAAAGGCATTACAATCCCACATTCAGTTGGAGTCATTGATAGTGATTATCGTGGAAATTTAAAAGTCCTGCTGAAAAATATTGGGGACGACCCTTATAAAATTTCGGTTGGAGACAGAATTGCCCAGTTGGTTATTCAGCGTGTAGAATTATTTGGATTTAAAGACACATGGAACGACACTGCCCGTGGAACGGGCGGGTTCGGTAGCACAGGACAATAAAGGAAATCATGGCAGTATCAACTAGAGCACAGGTCATCACACGTCGTACATATAATCGCCCAACATCAGACGACGGTAAAGAATTTGAAACATGGCAAGAAACGGTAGCTCGCGTTATCGACCATCAACAATGGTTGTGGGAACGAGCAGTAGGTCGCGATTTAAACGACCAAGAATACGCAGAACTATATGATCTTGAGCAATTAATGCTAGATCGCAAAGTTCTAATGAGTGGTCGTACACTTTGGCTTGGTGGTACTAATGTTGCCAAGACTCGTGAAGCGTCACAATTTAATTGCAGCTTCACGCACGTTGAAACAATCTATGACGTAGTAGACGTCTTGTGGTTGTTGTTACAAGGTTGTGGCGTTGGATTTAAACCAATTGTAGGAACATTAAATGGCTTCTCCAAACCAATCAAGAACATCCGTGTTGTTAGAAGTACCCGCACAGCAAAAGGCGGAAACGAATACAATACAGAAACATTTGATGCAGCTACAAAAGTCTGGACTATCCAAGTGGGTGACAGTGCAGAAGCTTGGGCTAAGTCAATTGGAAAACTACTGGCTGGCAAGTACCCTGCTGATACTTTGGTGCTGGACTTTAGCCAGTTACGTCCAGCTGGTGAAAGGTTAAAAGGATATGGATGGATTAGTTCTGGGGATGCTGCTATTAGTACTGCTTATACTGCTATCGCCAATATTCTTAATGGTCGTGCTGATAGTTTACTCACTCGGATGGATATTCTGGACATTGTTAACCATTTGGGTACTATTCTCAGCAGTCGTAGAAGCGCTGAAATTGCTCTTTTTGATTACGGTCAACCCGAGTGGGAAGAGTTTGCGGTAGCCAAAAAAGACTGGTGGTTGCATAACAATGCTCACCGTACACAATCTAACAATTCACTAGTATTTAAAGAGAAGCCACTTAAATCAGACTTAGAAAAAATCTTTGGTATGATGGTTAAGGCAGGCGGCTCAGAACCAGGATTTATTAATGAGGTCGAAGCTCTTAGGAGAGCCCCTTGGTTTAAGGGAGCCAATCCATGCGTTGAAATCTTACTCGGTAACAAGGCTTTCTGTAATCTTACCGAAACTGACATTGCCAAGTTCAAAGGCGACACTGCCGGTTTGCACAACGCCATTAGACTGGCAGCTCGTGCCAACTACCGACAAACGTGCGTTAACCTTCAGGACGGCATTCTTCAAGAATCATGGCATCTTAACAACTATTTCCTACGACTTTGCGGTGTAGGTTTAACTGGTATTGCAATGCGACCAGATATGAACGCTTATGATTATGAATATCTAAAGCGTACTGCTACTGGTGCTGCTATCGGTATGAGTTTAGAGTTAGGATTACCTGCCCCTAAGAATGTTACTTGTATCAAGCCTTCGGGCACACTATCTAAGATTATGGATACTACAGAAGGCGTCCATAAACCTCTAGGAAAGTACATTTTCAACAATGTTCAATTTAGCAAACATGACCCGGTGGTTGAAAAGCTACGTCAAGCGAACTATCGTGTTATTAATCATCCTGTTGATGATTCTGGAGTTCTTGTTACGTTTCCGGTAATGTGGGACGGAGTTCCTTTTGATGAAGTTGATGGTAAAGAAGTTAACATCGAGTCTGCTATTGTGCAACTTGAGCGTTATAAATTACTGCAAACTTCTTGGAACCAACAAAACACTAGTGTTACAATTAGCTATGACCCAACAGAAGTTCCAGCAATTATTGACTGGTTACTAGACAACTGGGATTGTTATGTAGGTGTTAGTTTCATCTATCGTACAGACCCAACCAAAACAGCTAAAGACCTTGGTTATCTATATCTGCCGCAAGAAGTTGTAACAGAACAAGATTACAAAGAGTACGTTAGCCAACTAAGCACTGTTGATCTTAACNATAACTTCTTCCTGTTCCTCGTGCAAAAATGCTACGTAGTATTAATGGTCCTGGAACCCTAAAAGGTATCATTGACTAGTATAAATAAAAGTGGTATAATTATTCCATGTTGAGAAAAACTCAACAGCGCGTGATACGCATTATCATTTATATCCCAAGGATTAAAATGGCGGATACAATTGAAGGCGTACCAGCAGAAACACCAGTAGCGCCGGTAGAACCAGAAATGGCTAAAGCGGTTACTGATGATCTAATGAGTGCGCTAAATCAGCAAGCTGATCAGGCTCGTAGATACTATGAACGATTGGCACAACAAATTAAACAAGTCGCAATAGCGGCACAAAGTACCAAAGGTACAGAGGAAACTAAAATGGCAGAAATTATGACACCAAGTATGATTATGGGTGGCGGCGGTGGAGACGGCGGCCTAGGTTTTGGAAGTGGCGGAGGCCTAATCGGCGGCTTAATTTTAGGAAGCCTCCTACGCAACGGCAACGGAGGTCTCTTCGGTGGCGATGGTAACGGAGCAGCCTTAGGTGGTGCAGTACTACGCAACCCACCAGAACAAAATCAAGCAAACATGGACTTAATGGCAGGTATTGGCGCTGTTGATAAAGCAGTAGCAGTATCTCAAGCAGCAATTGAGAACTCTAACTCAATGCAAACTAATATGTTAAGCGGTCAACTTTCTCAAGTTGCACAAGCTACAGTTGCACAAATCAACAGTCTTAAAGATGTTGTTAATCAAAATAGCGTAGCCTTAATGCAAGGTCAAGCAGCTATTAAGCAAAACATCATGGAAAATCGTTATGAATTGTCTAAAGACATTTCAGCTGATGGTGAAAAGACTCGTGCACTAATTACAAACCAATACGAAATTAATCTGCAACGTCAACTATCAGACGCTAATGCAGCTATTATCGAACTACGTAGTCGTGAATTCTCAGGTAGTGCAGCTCGTGGTGTTGAAGTTACTACAACTAACAACATTAACCAGATGCAACAACAACAGCAACAACAAGCTCAATTTGCTCAACTAGGAAACCTAATTTGGACTCTTGGTCAAAGCATTCGTAGCAACAATGAAGCTATCAACGTTGGCAGCGGTACGCTGACAGCTAACCCAACAAATACCAACACTAATATTCGTTAATCTTTGGTAACTTGTAAGCCCTGCAACCACAAGTTGTGGGGCTTTTTTATTAGGAGAAAATAATGATGCAACAGCAATTAATGCCATTTGGTTGGCCAATGATTCCATTTGTTTCCTCACTACCAGGACCATTAGATGATATTGATATTATTAACTATACTAGCACTGGAACTCCTGGTCCTATTGGGCCTCCTGGCCCTGCTGGCCCACAAGGTGAGCAAGGTGTGTCAGGGACTCAAGGCTTGCAAGGTGAGCCAGGCCCTACTGGACCGCAAGGTGAAATAGGCCCAGAAGGCCCAGAAGGCCCAGAAGGCCCAAGTGGCTCTGTTAGCAGAAATACAATTGTAGTAAGCGAAGACTACGAAGCAAAATTAACAGACTACTATATAGGCATAGATTCTAAAGGCCCTGTTACTATTAAACTACCTGAAGATGCCCCTAAAGGTACTGAGTACATAATAAAGCTGCAAATGGGTGCTCCTATAGGCACTCGTAAGGTCACAGTAAAGTCAGGAACTTCAATAGATAATGTAAATAATGTTATTTTAACAAATCCGTATGAAGCATTACAAGTACTATTTCAAAGTGCGTGGCATATAACAAATCGCAATTAATAAAAAAGCCCCTAAGTAGCAATACTTAGGGGCTTTTCTTTTATTTACAACTACGTAACATCCAGTTGTGTTTTTCGTGAGCGTCAATCCGTTCAGCAATGAAATTTTCAAAACCAAACTTGCTGTATAAGTCACAAAGGTTATACGCTTCTTTTAGTGTGGCTAAAACTGCTTCACCATCATCATAAAGTTGCGTGACCATTTCATCTTTGGTAGCTGCTGCTTTTTCTGTGACAGCAGAAAGACCAACAATCTCAGCTAGACTAGTAGGTGCGTCAATTTGTAGAGTGCGAAGCTTTTCTGCAAACACATCAACGCTGTCATAAACTTCAGAATAAATATCACCAAAGAATTCGTGATATTGTGGAAAGTCTTTGTCTTTTAGGTTCCAGTGAAACTGGTGCGCTTTGTAGTAGTATACAAAAGTAGTAGCAAATGCTTTAAGCACTGCTTTATTTAATTCATCCATAGTATTCCTTAATCGTCAAACATAATAAAAAATTGTTCAACGGCTTCTAGTTGCTTTCCGTCTTCTCGATCACGCATAATTTGATCGCGCTTTTCACGGCTCCAGCTAAATCCGCCGTCTCCGCCCCATAAATCCCAAGCTACTCGGCCTTTTGATG